GAGGGGACCGTAAACCGTGAGGGACTCCGGGACGGCCCCGGCTCCCGTCAGGGGCTCGGAGGGTTCCCCTAAGCACTTCAGGGGCCGTGGCGCTCAGACCAGGGCTCCTGACACAACCGTGAACACTTAATCCTCATGCTTTAGCATCTCACTGAAAATTTTAGTACTATTTTATACTATTTTTACTTTATACTATTTTACGTGCTGTGCATCGTCAGAGCCTTTAATGCTGTTTGTAACGTTTGCATAGTTTGTGGGCTCTCACAGAAGCGTCCAGGCTTTAGGTGGTAAAACATTTACCGTTTCATATGTGCCCTTTCAAGTCTCTGCCCTGACTCACTCCGTGCCTCAGCTTATCTGAGGTAATGAATAAACTGCACGATGTGCAAGGGGAAATAACATGGTGTTAAGACAGAACCATAAACAGTTCAGCTTATAAAACACAGTTTCCGTGTTGAAGTTCTTACAAATAAGGAGTTTCCTACAAAGTGATTTCCTAACAAATTCCTGTAACGCAACATCACGAGTTAAAATAAGGCACATGTCACTTCTACAGTTAATTACATCTGAAATGCAGACTAGCAAAAGGAAGTAGAAAAATAACACAATAAAATAAAGGAAAATAATAACATGATGAGGTGCCAGCCCAGCCAGAGAGAACTTGTACAGATCCTCTCAGCTCTCCGATACTCAGAGGGGCAAATGCCACAGCAAAGCACATGCAAATCCTGCTGGTTCGGGTGACATGTCCTGGAGGACACCTGGAGAGCAAGTCCCAGCGGATCTCTGCACTGTCTTTAAGGAATCCCTGAAAGCAGTTTATTGATTTTTAATCAATAGATTTATATTCACTGTAGCACAATGTGGCCCCTCACCAAAAAGTATATGGGGAATTGACACTGACGTTGATATCAAAGGGCATTAAGGTCCCATAGTCTTGTTCTTCTTAAATGCAAGTTGATGGTCAAATTATCACCAGTTTCCAGGAGACTATTTCCTTATTTTCACATGCATAAAACTACTATGATATAAAAGCTTTATCACTCAAGTTACTCCACCTTCCAGTAACTCATTTACTGTTACAAGACCAATAATCCAAGTTCCAGAGTCAAAAAGGTAAAAGACAACAGAAATGTGGACAAAGATACAATCATAGTTCACAGTGTCTCTTGTTTGTTGTTTCCCTGACATACAAGATTGGAATCCTAAGGCTTAAAAACACAAGGAAAGTGAAATATTGTGGCAGGTAGGTCTCATGACAGAAGTGCTAGCCTGAAGGGGGGAAAAAAAAAAAAGTAAATCTACCAAAAGCAAGTATAAATTATTTAATAAAAGTGTCAAATATAAAAGCCGTGTGCAATCATTAAAATAAACAAAACTGTTAGAAAGTTCTAAAAGGATGCTACCAGGCAAAGAATATTTTTTTTTCTAAATTTTAACACTTCATATTGAGAGATCTGGGATTTTTTTCCCTATTTTTTCCCTTACACTGTCCCTTTATTCTCCCGTTGAACTCAGACAACGTAAACAAAACTTGGCCTGTTTGATTTATCTTTTTGGTCTATATTACTTCCCGGTTCACAAGCCTTTGCACAATGTTCCTAATGTTTGAGATGGATTTGAAGTCCTGTATATAGTGACAATTTTTGATCACAGCTTCATAAGCCTAGCTATCAATTTTGTGTTTTTAAGCCTTTTTATTAAAGCATTTATTTAAAACAGTATTTAAAGCAATACTGACTGCTGGCTCTTCTGAAGGAGCAAGTGTTTTTTTTTTTTTTTTTTTGTCAATAAACCTCTTTGGAAAATGCAGGGCTACAGCTCCATCTTGTGACCCAACCAAACATTGTAACTTAGGAGATGTGTGGCTCTATCAGTCAGTGAGCTGCTCAAAATTTTATGAGTGTTTGCTTCTCTGAATAGCATTTTCCTTCATTGCAAATCCCATTCAGACTTACCACCTTCTGCTTTCTTTCTTTTCTGTGTCCCCAGCTTTTTTCCCGAAGGGATTGCTAGCCAGTGAGAGGGGCTGAATTGCCAGCAGTCTTGAGACCAAATAGGTTTGTAGCTGTGAGCCCACAGTTGGCAGCTACAAAGCTCCCAAGCTGTGGGTGTCTCTTGTGTACACTGCAAGCAAAGCCACAGCTGTGTGTGTTTGCATCAGATGTACTGATGCAGACCAGGCAAAGGGGGAAAAAAAAAACAAGAAGAAATTTCATCTGAGGCTCTTCTACTTGAAAATTTGCCCTTGAAGCTCAGCAAACATGTTTTGCACACCGACAATACACTACGGCTGCATCTGCCCCACTAACAAAACCGGTATCACCAGCAGATTTGAACTGATTGCCAGAGTTAGGTCTCGTTATAGAAATGTGAATTTCTAGTATCAAACCTCACTACCAGCCAACTGCTACTACAGTATCCTTTGACATTTAGATGCAAGCAGTAGCTTTGGCATTTTTGATAACATAAAACCCGTAAGAAAAAGCTGGAAGGCCGAGAGTACTCCCTGGACCAAGGGATTTTTCAGTAAGTGCTGGCAACATTTTGTCATCCACCATCTTTAGGACATGGCCATTCAATCGAATAGACCTAGAGAAGCAGAGAGAGATGGTTGTAGCTGGTATTTTTGTTTGCTCTCAAGCACAAATACCTCTTGACATTCAACTGCAAACAACCAAGTACTACGTTTCCTTCCCTTCAGGCTCCACGTCTGCATACACACACACAGGTACACCGTTCTGCGTGCTTACCTGGAAAGTATGTTGTCTTTGCCATGCGGTAGGAGCAGGTACTCATCCACGTGCTTGCTGGATAAGCCGACAGGTAGCTGCAAATATCTGGTCGAGTTGTAGAGGTTTAAAGCGAACAACGTGACATCCCCATCTCTGTACTTTGGGCTGAAAAACAAGGGAGAAATCGCGCTGATGATGACGGAACGAAGCAGCTGTGCAGAAGCCAGGTGTTGCCCACAGCTGGGTCGCGGGACGCAGCCGTGGCCTCCCTGCAGGGATGAGAGGAGTGTCCGGGAGCGCCCGGCACACGGCACGGCTGCCTGCGGGAAGGGGGGCCGTGCGTGCCAGGGACCGGCACCTGCAGGGAAGGCACCTACTACTGCTTTTACACATCACGGACGACGAGGACTTGAAGGGAGCGGATCAAGACTCGGGATACAGGACGGAGCAGGGATGGGAGACCCCTCCCTCCCACGCCTGGGGTAATGGGGTAATTCCTCGGCGCCGCGCGGGCAGTTCCTGCGGGAGCGCGGGTGCTTACTGGTGGGTGTTTGTGCAATGCAGGTACACGCGGAGCTGCCGCTGGGCGCCTCCCTTTAGGCCGACACGCAGCACCTTGGTGCCCACCAGGTTCTTGTACAACAGCGAAAGCCAGTAGTCCTGTGTAGCAAAACACACATGCATTTACACCCGCTGCGTATACTAAATTCATATTCGTCATTCTTGCTCTGCCCTCCCCACCCTTCCTGCAAAATGTGGGTGGAAAGACCGAGATCAGAAAAATATTTTTAGTTTTGAAAGATGGCAGATGCCAACAGGGAAGCTCTGTGCACTGACAGAGATCTGCTTCCTTGAAATCATGTGAAAGAGAGAGTGCTTTTTACTTCCAACTTAGCTGGAATTTTCTCATAAAACACTACAAAACTTGGGTTTGCCATCCACATGGTCAAGCTGATAGCTTTCAAAGAGAGCTTCTTCCAGCAGTTCTTTTTCATTTTGAAGCTTTCCTAGAAGGAAAGCTCTCCATACCTTTTAAGTATTATTTGGTTTATTAGCATCCGTACTGTCTGTAGATGAAGACAAAACATCCTTTCAATCTAAGTATATTTTAAATTGGGTAGGGGAGTTTAACAAGTTTTCCATCCCCAACAACTTGGTCCTTGGCGTAAGGACTACCTGAAACCGCAGGACAAAACTACTTTTCATGTTGCTTTCCTTGTTACATGTTCTTTATGATCCTGTAAAAGTGACGACTTGGAGGCAGAAAAAGAGGAGGAAAAGGAAAACACTATCCTCTCATCCAGAGGTGCTGTTAGAAGAACATGCTATAAATATACAAAGAGGAAGCACAAAAGAGCATGCTATAAATATACAAAGAGAATGTCATGCTCTATAACCGTCTTTGATCACAGCAGAATACTATTCTAATTAAACTATGCTAAATACATATCTTCATGGCTTATATTTTGGCCACTATTTACAGAATACGTAAATACAGAATGGCCACACATATTTGGTCCATATATGATCCAAGAGATGGTTATTATTAATTTCATAGTATGCTGTTTTTCTTTTGTGCTGTAATTATATTTATCCTACAAAGTCTGTTTCTCTCTTGTGTTGCTATAATAGCTACCTTCTGTTTGCACATCAGGTTTTGTCTGTGCATACAAGTACATAGAGCATTAAAATAATGTTAGTGGGATTGTGTACATACTGGCAAAGGTTCAAAATTTGCATCCACCAGATGGTAGGTTCCTGCTCCAAAGAACACCTGTCTCATCACCACGTCAATTCCCTGCCTGGCTGAAAGGCCAAGTTTGTCCAACCACCTGCCAAAAAAACGAGGCACACAAGGGGCAAATGAAGTTGCAGTCCAAAGCTGTGCTCTGCTGCCTCTCTCTGACTGAGATGAGAAGACTTAATGCTGACATTTGCTTAAAGTTATGCGACTAAATCGAATTCACAACTTGCAATAATTACCGTAGAAATTAAATCCAGACAGCATCTGACTTGCAGCCTGATTTATGCAATAAATTAAGTTCCCCTTGTTGCTGTCCTCACGCAGAGAAACAAGATACAGACAGTGGAAGCCAACAGCAGCATGTGCTCTTGAACTGCCGCAAAGCATAAAATTGGGGAAATCACCACAGCAAATAACAAGACTGTCTGCGAGCCACACATACCGTTGCCATTTTGATCTGCTAACAGATCATTTGAAGTGCTAAGAAAAGTGCAAGTTCCATTTTTTGTTTCTCTGACTTTAACAAATTTCTAAATATGGCACCCTTGGAGGAAATGTAGATATTACTTTGGTTAATTATTTCATAGTAGTCCAAGTGTGACAGAGGAAAAGGACACAGGATTAGTCACTGGTCTCACACTCTGGGACCAGCTAGCTCAAACTCAACAAGATTTGGTCAGTGATTATAGCATTGCTGCTGTGCCTTTGGGAAGCAAAAGCGAGTCCTACTGACTCTCTGGGCATTTAGAGGCTCCAAAATGGCATTTTTTCAACCGTATGAAAAGGTATTATTTATAACACGTGATATTTCACTCACATAAAGCCAGCGACATAGGTATTGGACAGTTTGGGAGCTCCACCTCCATACGCTGAGCTGGTTTCTCCTAACCAAACCTTTTTGTTGGGTACGGTTCCGTCAACAATCTACTCAGTATTACATAGGAGAGAAAAGAAAGAGGCAGTAATTAAATGTGTGGCTTCTGAAATAATCATCAATAAATGCCAAATGCCTTGGCAGGCAATTTGCATTTAATGGGTGGTAACACTGACTGAGGCGGGATATCGTAGATATTTTGATCAGCACAACTGGAAAAGCAGTTGCTTTGGGGGGTATTTTGGGTTTTTTTTTCCCCCCAGAATTTCATCCACTCACATGTAGAACTAGGAAAACATCACTAAAGAAGACTGTTTCTGTAAGCCTTCCCAAGCTGAGCAGCATTATACTCTATTAATTTTTTTCTGCTCTCAGGATCTCCAAATTCTGTGATGTGAGCAAAACCTACAGTGACTTTTGTAGGTCTGCAAAGTTTCTAGCACAGATGGTTTCTCTTGAGTGTATCTACTAGCAGTATTGCTAACATGTGCTTTTGAATATTTACCCTGACAGTGTCACCTGAGCTTTGAGGATCCTTATTTATTGCTAGATGAGAAGCTCTATTTGACTGAGGACTCTGTTTTGCTAATACCACTAGGTATGAACAAGTGAACAGGCTAATGGACCTCAAGGACATCACGTATATCTGTGGCAAAAGTATCCAGCACTTCTGGGCTCAAGAAATCCTCTCTTGTAGCATGTCGTCCATTCACATAGTAGCTGAAATTGGATTAAAAAAAAAAAAACCACAGTCAGGTTCTGTATTTCTCCTCATGGTGAGTATTGTTATACTGCTATGTGATAACTTGCTTTACAGTATAAAGTTATACAGATGGAAAATGTCACATTGCAGCTTCTCACTTGCTGTTTTGGCAGTTAGGAGGGGACTGGGGTGGAGGCTCCATCTCACTCTGGCTCCTGGAAGCGCAGGGCGCCCTACGGGACACACGCTTCCTTACAGCTGCTCAAGAGCATTAACATCCAGGTTCCTCCTGCACAGGGCGGAGGAAGCCCCATTCTGCAGCCAGAGGCCTTGGTTGGAGCAGCCTGCGCTTGGAAGACAGGCCCTGGGGCACAGGCAGCGAGGTCGCCCGCATTCGCACAGGGAAGGCCTCATTCCCTTTAGCATGAGGGACATTTTTGCCAAGAGCAGTTTAGAAATTAAGGGGTATGGCCACATTACTGCGCTCTCCACTCCCCCGTGCTGTGCACGGAGCACTTTGCTCCCTGCAGAGACAGTCTGTGCTTTCTGGGATGCCTCTCCTGCCACAGAAGACCACCACCACTGCCAAAACTCTGCTCGTCTGGGAAGGACCAGCTCCTTGCACCACTGCTCTGCCAAATGAAGCTGCCGTTCCTCTTCATTATCCACCCTACTGTCATTATTTGCAGTGTAAATATTTAGCAAGCAAAAGGACCTTCTGCATGTCATTTCCATCGCTGCTCAAGTGATGGAAAAAATGGCCCAAGTTATAAATTCCCGGCTGTGCTTTCAGTTTTGGGCACTAACCAGCTTCTCTGGACACTTCCTTGCATTTCTGTAACACACTCCCTCAAGTAATCTGCTTATTGGGAGGGAAGGATGCATACAGAGCAGCACACAAGGAACCCTTCAAATCAGTATTTCCTTCCCTCCTTCCCATGAATAAGTTTAAATCAACATTGCATAACCACATTTCATTTTATCCATTGAGCACGCAACTGGATATCTGAGTGGTACTTACTGATGCCAAGTGACAGAATCAATCACCTTCCCTCCTGACTTCAGGAAGCTGCAAACAAAGAGCACAGGGTTGTTGGGAGGGTTGATTTATGTTTGTGCAACACGGGGAGATTTCTTGGGTGAAAATGGTGCTAGAGCCACTGTTTAACTGGAAGACATGCAGATCAGTGAGGTACTGCTAACACCTTAGTCGTAACTGGCTGAGGAGTTTATGCTTAAGATTTTGATTCAGGTAAGTTATAAATCGCCCTCCATGCAAAAAATCAATGACTGTAAATTAAGAAAAAAAAAATCAAAACAAATCTGCCCTCAGCTGTGTTGTATTTATCCATATAGTTCCTCCTTCCTCGCGACTGATTTAGCTCGATGGGTCGCGTCCCGCTCACCTGCGCAGCAGCTTCTGCGTGTGCTTCTGCGGCCGCCCCACGTCGGGGCCGTACAGCTGCGCCCGCCGGTACAGCGTGTAGTTATTCAACAGGTGCCGCAGGTGAATGAAATCCTGTCCCAGCTGGAAACCGTCGATGTAGATGCCAGACTTCTTCCTGAAGCTGTTTGGCTCTGGGAGAGACACGTGCACATCAATACCCACGCCTCGTCTTGGGAGACAAAATACCAACCCTCCACTGGCTTTTTTCCCCAGTAAATTATTACCTTGCTCTTTGAGGCATCACCCAAAATGCGCTCTTAAAAACACGTTGCTCTGGACAGTAGCCCAGCGCCGGCTTCCCTTGCCCACCAACACACTTTGCACTCACCATTGCCCAGCTCCCAGGACATGTTGTACCCCTGCGACGCGCAGTAATCCAGCAGCAGCCGCGCGTTCGAGCTGTCCCACTGCAGGCCGTTTTTCCGCAGCAGGGCATTGAGCCCAAAGATCAGGTGAAACTGTGAGCAGTTTGCAAAGTTGTACAGGATGTCCACTGTATTTCCTGCATGGTGGAGAAACACCGGAGAGACCATTTATTTAGAAGGTTTGCTGTGCTTATGGATTTAAAGCCAAATAAAATCTGCATGGCATGCGTTTAACCTGCTGCTGTAGAGACAAATGTGCCAGGGTTTCAGAGCCGAACCAAAGAACACAGCCCCAGTGAAGCTTGTCCAACATCACCTTGAAAGATGCTGAGATTTGCTTAACTATTACAATGACTGAAAAATTTTAAATAATTTAAAAAAAACAGTAGTGTTTTTTATTTTAAGAAACATCTCAATGATTTAGAGAGACCTTAATTTTTGGTGGCTTCAGCTCTTAAATGCCCATTACACTATTACCCTGCAACAGCGATTCGCAATTTCCTAGTTTTGAATCAAGGCACAAGAATCCATCAAAATCTTACTTGTAATGGTGGTGTTTTTGTGCTTTTTCCGGTACTGCTCCTTAAGAATTAGCTTCTCTTGGGTGGGCCACTGGGCGAGGAGCAGGTTCTCAACAGCCGAAAACCCAGATCTTAACCCACAAGCCTCTGCAAGACAGAACAGAATGTGACATCAATAAAACTTGCACACCCTCAACGTTTCAATGTGCAAAAGGCCATGTCCCTCATCAAGAAATGTAAGGAGCTGAGAGCCACTCCTGAAGGTTTGTGGAAGTCATCTCTACTTTCATGACCATTATAATAACCACATGGAAGACAACGGCCAAACTGATTTATATATGTGTCTGTGTGTGTGTGTGTGTATATATATATATGTGTGTGTACGTGTGTATATATACCTGCATTGAAGGGGATGGAGATGGAAAGAGAAAACAAAAGACTAACCTGGACTTCTGGAAGCTGCTCTACCTTGTGGCCATAACCTGCTAACCTGTTTCCACCCAAGAGCCGCACTGGAAACCATGACTAAGTGACCCACCCCTGCGCAGCACAGGAGGAGCAGATAAACATTAGGACTATTCGTCATGTGCTGTTGTTGTGAGGAGGCTGTTTACGAGAGATATAAAGCACCACTTCCTGCTCTTAAGTGATGGGGACTGTTGGCAGTGTTTCCTGTTCTGCGTAGTAAGAGCTGCTGACTGTGTTACGGGAATCAAACTAATACACTGGCAGAAGTCTGCACACGTTTCGCCTCTCTTCATACACATATATATATTTCCTATATAATTTCTACAAAAACTCACAGAGGATCCCATGATAAACCAAAGAGAAAGTTAAAAGTAGGCCGAAGTTGCTCATATTCCAAAGAGAAGCAGCTTATTAAAGAATGGAGTATAGGGTAAAAATAATGCTTCCAACCCTAACACTACCTGTTATATACAAAGGGCTACTCTTTTTCTCCTCATAAAACTACTCTAGAGCGCTTAATATATTTTCACAGAATTTAAGGAGAAAAAATGACTTTAATTCAGTGAATTCAAAGGAAAAATATTTGTACCCGGGGAACAAATATAAGAAGTTAAGACTGTCAGGTCAGGGTCAGTTTATCTAAGCCACTTATCTGAATTTTATGAATGCAATGCTCACCGTCAGCATAACACTGACTTGGGGAAAACTAGACAAAACAAGAAGCAGTTTGCTCTGAGCAGGTTATTTCTCTGGGTGAAACTGTAGATTTTGAGCTGCCCTTGGCTGGCTCCCACCTGGTAGGAGAGTTGCAAACGCTGCGGTGGCATCACAGAAACGAGCATCGGGCAGCAAAGCTGCACAAGGTATCGTATACGTAGGGGATGTGGTTAGCAGCCCTCCTCATTTTCACATTGACCCTGACAGAGCTCACAATTTTCATCGTGCTGGAGGAAAACAGGGATTGACAGACTGTGGAGAATTTAGGGAATTGTGTTAAGCAGGGGAGAGAGACATGGAGAGGGCCCAAAAGAGAATGAGGTCAAAGTGGAGAGGAGTCTGGAAGATCCTTATATGAAAGGGAGCAATCCTGGAGCAGAGAAACACAAATGCTGCGGTCACACATTTGCAGCACCTTTTGGAGCGATTTATTATGGGTTAAGCTACAAGAGTGTTTGTTCACATCCACTTTACCTTGCTTCACCTGGAGTTCCTGAAGGATTTTCTCTTCTGGGGTTGAATCCCTGCCGGGATCGAAGATCAGAAAATCTGTTTTGGTGCCACCAAACCTCAGGAAGCCTGGGGACAAGGCTCTCGCAAGGGTGCGCAGTCGGGGATTGCTGAGGAAAGGATATCAAGAAATGGGAGAGACATCAGCCCAGCTAAGTCATACTGAGGGTGCCATCTCAAGGCGCTCACATGCCTCTAGTCCCATCACTTTTATATAAAAGGACCACTGCTGGCTGAGGGGCTAGGAGAGCTCGAAGGAGTCTGTGAAGGAGGGAGATGTGCTCCAGGGATCATGGGCTGGAGCTAAGCCACGGTGGGGGAAAGTAAGAGAGCCTGTATTGAGAACAGGCATTTTTTTCCCCTAGGTATTTGTGATTTTGCTTAGGCAAAATGAACCTAACAGTCCCACGAGAACCTGAACATAAATCCGATTTCCACCATCCTATCCAATTTCCCTAAACTACAGATAATTCAAATGCTTTTGTACCAGAGCGAAAAAAAAAAAGGGGGGGAAATGGAGCATCAGACAACCCTCAATGCACAAGCGATATCGCTGCTCCAAGGCGAGCTGGGGCTGATTACTGCCCACCAACAACTTCCTGCTCACAGCGACAAGCCGAGCAAAGCCCCGCGCGGCAGCTGCTGCTTTCTGGCCCCATCCCGATCCTCCTCTGCTACTGCCCGAAGGTCTAAAGGTTGCAAACCCCAACCGCTTTCAAGATCCCTACCTCCACCTTGGCGAGGAAGAAGAGATGAAGGAGGTAGGACAGGAAAACACAGAAGGACTGAAGAAATAAAGGGGTCTTGAAAAGCAGGATTCAAAGGAAAGAAATAGAGCAACTTCATAAAGTCAAAAGGAGGAATGAAGAAGTTAAAAAAAGAGCAAAAGCGGGAAACTATTTTTACACGTTTTGAGCACCGATTAGTAAAGCTGCCGCCAGAACATCGCGTGGAGCTGCCCAGTCCCTCCTATGTGGGAGCCCCCTTCCTCCTCCGCTTGCAAGCCGCTGCCTACCTCAAGAAGGGGACGTATCGCG